TTACTTCCTACTCTAATCTAATATTACAAAGTATAAATGGATGGATGAATATTGACGAAAATTGTCACAGATAGAGATTATAGTCTAGAGTATCATGTATTCTACTTTTGATCTGGATAACGTTGACTAAGCCGCTGGCAGAAGCTAGTACCTACATTACTTTAGTAAACAAGGGGTGTTTAAATAATTCATATTTAGGTACATAGACCACCTTTCTTTTGTTATGCTATAAGTTTAAGTGTCCCATTTAAAAAGATTTGGGGCTATTGAGGTGGCCTCAAAAAAATATTTTCGAACATTTTATTTCACATCTATCATATCACATAATATATTACACAGCGGGAACTATATGTGTGGCGTCATACAAACGGATCCTTTTGTAAAATATTTTCAGTACAAAGATTCATTGTGATCCACGGCACGTGAGAAAGTTACACGATGACCATTATGACCCAGTTCCAGCAACTGGCTTTTTACACGCCTGTAAATATTATATTAATGTAATTACTGTACTTTTATGGAATACCGTTTTTCAATCATTCATGTAGTTTAATGTAATTAAGTACTTTTGTACAATGATTTTAAAATTCCAATAATTAGATATGCTTTCTTTACTTACATTTGATTTTTATGTAGGAGTAAGTATTTATTTTTCTTACTCTCTGTAGTCAGGGATGTTTGTATCCTAGTTAGTAGTATCTACAGTTATCTTATTTACATTTATGTCAATCTAAGAATGTCTCATAGTATCTACATCATATTATTTCGACTTATTTCTTTTAGTTAATTATATTTATCCATCCAAATTATTTAAACGGTAAAAAGCTATAAAATCCATATTCATATGATTAAAAGGTTAGGCTAGAACACAGATGGCATTGGCATAGATCACTTGCATCGAATGCCAGTAAATTAGAGCTGTGGTTGACATTCAACTAATATTTTACAAACAGCTGGCTTCTGATACCTAACTATTAATTATTCAACTCCTTTACTAGGAAATACAATTTATATACATATTATGTCAGAGACGTTTTAATACATACCTAATGTAATTTCTTGAGATATTAATAGATATATTGATATAGTTGATGGTCTTTGGTATATTACAGCTAGAGTAAGCTAGTTAGGCTAAGCCTTAATTTTGAAGCTATTCGGATATTTTTTGATATTTCAAGATTGGTTTCAGTGCAGTTAAATAATGTACGTATTTGTTTAACTTAAATCTAAATATGCAGGTTTAAATTTAAATATTTTTATGGAATAGGTAGGTAGACCTGCACAGCTTTACATAAATAAAGAATTCAGTGAACAATAGTTTTTCAAGCACTTACGTAACGACACATATACCTATATATAACAATGTAACGTGTTACCAAATCTAGGTGAGATTCAGCCATAGACAGGTTAGTAGCTTTGTAGTTGATTTATAAATAAATATAAGTCTATTTCCTAAAATATTATTTATGTCGTCAATCGCACAGAATGCGAAGTACAACGGCTTGGTAAAAGATTTATTAGTTTGAGTTATACAAAGCGCAGTTCTTATCTACTATCCTAGGTATACATTATATACTTAATACTTGTAATTCGTGAACAGAGTGGTAATCGTATTATGTTGAGATTTTACGAGTATTAGATCACTTGTGTGATTCATACTGTGTTAATTTATTCGTTCCGTTCAGACGTATTAGTTTCGGCAAAGTACGCGTAATGAACTGCTAAATTGGTTTGTATTTGCTCCTCTCTTCGTTATAATCAAAATTAAGATTAAAATTAAAAGACTATTTTCCGCCTTTGTAGTGTAATTTGTAGTTATTTTATTTATTTATTATTTTTACCTGTGTCCCGTTGTTTTACTTAGTTTATGTAATGTAATTGATATCCTATGTTTAACGGGAATAGTGTAGCATCTAAGCTGAGGTTTTTTTTTGAAAATCTAAAATATTAACTTTCAGTGTCTTTTCAATTTAAACAATCATTTTTTTCTTTACAAATTATTTAGTATAAGTAGTTGTATATATACAGAATAGCGATATTATTATACATATACTATAAACTGAGTTCAGTTTATTATACTACTTCCTCAAGCCATTCTTTCTGGATGAAAGAAATAGTATTAAGAATATTGGACAGTTGAAAAAAGCAACCGTTAAAAAATTTAGATCAACCGGACTGATTTTTTACCGACTTTAAATAATTTCTTAATTAAAACATTACGTATTTGGAGTCTCAAAATTGTCAAATTTTTGGCGTCAATTACTTCTTTCTAATAAGCTAGAAAAATAATTGTATCCTAATCGATTATTGAAATTGTGAAATTTATATTGCATTAAAAGCTAAAACATTTTATTTTGTCTAAGAAAACAATTTAATGAATAATTTTAAATATTCATTGCTTATAAAGTCCATCGTATCTCAATTTAAATTCGTTTGGGACTTAGACGATAGCATATTTTTATGTCATTCAAATAAAACATTTCAAAGTAAATTTGACATTATTTATAATATATAAATTAAATTACTGTTTAATATAATATGAATGTAACGATATGGGTTACAATCATTGACACGTCAGATAAAAACCAAGACGCTTTGCAGTGTTTAGGTAAGTATAAAATTAACTGGAAAATAATTAATTCTAAATCGGTTTTATTTTTTTAAATCCTGTTTTAAATGTTAATAGAATTCATATTTTCTCACAAGGCACCAGAATAAAAAAAACCGCTTACCTACTTCTTACATAATATTTTAATGCTTTTTTATAGGTAGTTTTGCTTTATTTTGAATCGATTGTCTCTGATATTATTATTCTTGTTAAACTGCATAGGAAGGTATGTGGTTGTTATCGATGTAACGGTACACAGGTAATAATTTTTTGATTCGTTTATCATTTATAAACACTTTTACATCGGTTATGTTAAACCTCCACAGGTTTTCGTAGCACAACAATTATTAAATATAAAGTATCTTATATAGTATACATATATTAAGTAGGTAAGAAAATGAGGATTTGATGATTCTTGTTCGTCATAACCCTTTACCTTGCTCTTAGTAAGCAAATCATACGTATCCTTAGGTATGAAATAATCATAACTGCCTTTTTTTTCTTTAAGAAGCGGTAAGAGACAGGGACCTTATCCTCTGAAAAAGCCAGTAACAATTACTATAGGTTAACCAAAGAATCCGTTTTTATTTCGAAGGAACAAGGTTAGCATGGCCTATAGGAACGTATTGTTTAATTAATTTTTCTTTTTGGTATTTATATACGTAGTTTTTATTTGATTAAGCTATTTACTAAATGAGATAATAATAAGGGCTCACATGGTTACTGGTTGTATAAGAAATAATGATTTAAAAAAAGTAATTAGGCAAAATATTATATTATTATGTATTAACTAATAACAACCTTTTTGTAATGTACTTAGTTATCTGTCTACATGATCAAGTTCATTAAAATATACATATTTACATTACCAATATTCATTGGAAAGTTTTATTTCATCCTAACCGTTTACCGACATTTAAATTATTTACAAATATACAAGATGTCTACGTTTGATAGTAGTTCCTTAGTGATGCGTAATTTTAATAGGAATGCTTACGTGGTATGTACTTCTTCATTGTTTATTTCTGAAATTGTTTAATCAGTATAATGCCGATCAGTTTCCGTACATTTAAACTGTAAGGCTAAGGCTACTATTGCTATTGTCTGTACAATTTTTTTTTCAAAAAAAAAACATTGATTTGTGGAAAGTAGGATTTTCTCCTGTGCCCAGGGTCCGTTTACGAGCATACAATATCTCATACACATCAAACTCGGAACAACAAATTGTGGATCACATAAAAGAGTAGATCTGTGCGGAAAACAAACTCGTGACTTGTTACGCGGCAGTCCAGCTACTGCGGGAACTGTGTAGTATTTAATTGTAGGCAAAATATTTTTATTACCGATGAGAACCTGTAGTCCATTTGTTTATACAGATACCTCAGCAAGCAGGTGGTAAGAGTTGTGACACAGGTGGCAGGTACTTTATAAGTTTTTGAAACCTACAATCCTTACGAAAGTAAATACATTTATTAATAAACTCGTGGGTATTATTTGACAATGAATTTTACACCATTTTAGTTAGGCTTAGTTATGAATTAAACTTATTAAACGTAGGCGTATACGGGTTCTTAATTAAATATTTATCGAGTAGTAAATATTAAACGACCAATATTGATACTAACTGGTAAATTATAGTACAAGGTTGGTTGTGTGACGTCATGACATGACATTGGTGATTTATCCGCTACAGGGGTGTGGGCCAACCAGACAGATTTGGGTTAATGTTCAGCATTATTTTTATATTGGCACTTAATGGACTACAGGGATGCATGATATTCCTATTCCGTTCAGAGTAAGGATATTACGATTAAACTAATTTGAAAATGGAAATTGATTTGCTAAAATGAGGTTTACGTTTGAGAATGAAACCTACATTGTACAATATTGATAGTTATGTTAATGAATAGCTGTAACCATGTGGGTAGATCCTAAATAATACACAGATAGCACACTTCGTTTTCCCTGCATACTTGTTGTAATGCAAAGAATTACTTATTATTAATGTTTTACATACATTTACAAAAAAAGAATGATGTATGTCAATATACACTCGCTAATGTTTAATTGATACGATGACAGGGGCTTCTAATCTTAATGATGAAAGCAATCGATGAACCCTCATTATTGATATATTATGATATTGTCAATCATCAGAGGCCATCACTTGGTATAAATTTTCACTTGTTATCTAAGACAGGTGTCTGTGAACGCATCACAGACATGTTTACTTCAAAACACTAGATTTGATGGCAGATTACTTCGCGAATTAATAATTACTACCATCTGGCGAACATTGGTGAAATATTGAGACGGGTTGCTGGGACTGGCTAACCTCAGAGTGCAACCCTGACAATTGGTCGTAAGTTGGGAGATATTAAGGTTTACTTACCAGTATTCGTCCGGTGGTGGTCTGACCGGATATGAGTTCGCCGGCCCAGTCTTTCGCTTCGGTCATGAACGTGCCCTCGAACTCTTGTTTGCCCTGCCGCGCCGCCTTCTGCTCCTTCTGCTTGGGGTCGTTGGGAGCCAGCTCCGGCTCCTTGTGGCAGCAGACGAACGCGCACGCGCGCCATAACAGCACCACGAGCAACCCCGCAAGGAAGGTGAAAATCGACGACAGCAGAAAGCACCACCATTTTCGGACACTGAGGCAGTCATCATCTTCAGGATAAGTGTCGGTCGACGCTGTAGTCGCCTCTTCCTCGGACGAAGCCATTCCCCGAGGGCGCGAGGCATCCAGTCAGGCGCGCCATGCACGTGCAGCGATGCGCGCGCCCGCACGCCGTGCCCGCGCGCGACTGAGCGACGGCGCCCCGCCCCGCGCGGTCGATGTCGCGCGATCGATCCGCGCCGGCGCGTGCCGCACTGCACTACCGACCCCTCGGAACCATGACCATCCTTCCACCCCGTTCACCACCTTTTCGCCTCCGATCCTCGACGCCAACTGATTCAGCCTCACTCTTCGTAGCGATCCATAAGCATCGCCGAAACCGATACGACAGCTTTTATGACTGCAGATGTTTCCGTAAAGATTTTTATTGATGCCATAACAAAACTGCTCTTACATTAGGTACGTCCGATCCCACGCGTTGCCGACACACGAGTACTTTTATTCCGGTTCTAACTGTATAACGTACCTAATTGAAACTGAATTTTGGCGATTTTAACAAAGGTCAATGTATTCAGGCTGTGTCCCGATAAGCGTAGTGCTACGCCGCCCTACTGCGTCAGCGGGCGCTACGAAACTCGTAGACGTCTACGGGCGCTACGATTGGTCGAGCGAAATGCGACCGAAGATGTGTTCGGTTTCGTTCCAAAAGTACCCATTTGTCTTTTCTTTGTTACACACGGTCTATGTTTTATGTACGTTTCCAGTTAATATAAATGAGGCAATTAGTAGATAATGGTAGTTTTTTGCAACAAAGATGTATTACACGTTACGTAAGAGAACCCAGTGAGAAAGTTTAATACTGTCACATATTTTAAATTAAATGTTGTGACACTGAACAGAACGCTCGCTGGATCACGAACGTATTACCGTCGAATTATTTATCATGTTGTTTGCTTCCAAATATAGTTACCGAGACGACAGCTTACATAAATAATTAGATTTATTGTAGGCTGTATCACTCAGTGATGTCCAAAATAAGCTTTTAAAGTGTTCCGATGTCTTTTTTCTGTATAATTGTAATAAAATAAAGTACATTCACAACATCCAAAATATGATCTTTGAAACAGTCTCGGTCTAGTTCAGGCAAAAAGTGCTTATTTGTAATTACTTACATTATCACAAGGCAAACCACCCACAGCTTGGCATACCGCCAATAGACAAAAACTTGATAACTAGTACAGGCTAGGATGCTCTGAATATTGTACAATGGCAAGTTGGGGCCACGCTGCATATTAATGTTCGTTGCCAAATGGGTGGCATAAATATTGCATATGGATTGGTAGTACTCCACGAAAGAAATATTTGCCAAACGCCCTGGAGTTCCGTGTTATGATTAATATAGGTACCTACAATTACATGGCTTGTGCTTGCTTATGAATTTGATCCCTACTAGGAAATAACAAACTTATCATATGTCACTTGAATGATTTCTAAAATACGTTTGTATTACTTATGCACCAAAACTCCACATCCGCGTGATCCAGCGTAGAAGTGTCGTTATTTTTCATGAATTTTTTACTTTATTATCATAAAAAACAAATGCAATGGGTTTTATTGAGTAGTAGACGTATTATGACTTTTTTTGAGAGGGGAAAATCGTCCAATGTCTTCTTAGACTTTCAGACTGTTACTGACTACAAACCACTCCCTTCATTCTCCTGCTTCAGGCCGAGGCCCTAGTATCTTATTACACTTACCCCGGAAGCCATCTGAACATCAGCCCTGTGGTGGTCTGGCTTAATTCCTACATCGAAGTGGATAAGTGGCTAATATGCTGTAGAATCTTAAAAATATAGTTGTTAAAATTATATTAGTCTCCACCTTGAAGATCCGAGTTACCATTTAGGTAAAAGTACTTACCTGTAAATAAAGTGTAAGTAACGATCTACACTTACCTAGTAGGTACATATTAGAATGCTTAGTTATTTTGGTGTAAATATTATTGTGGTGAAATAACCCATATTATTAGGTACTTTTATTATTTATCTGGTGAGACATTTAATTTTGGGTACAACTCAGGTCAGTATTACCTACTCATAGAATAAAAAATCGTGATGTTAGTTTTAACATCTGTTAAGTATTCGAAAATTTAAATTAAAGAAATAAGGACAAATCCCATTGTATGTATCAATGTAAATTGTTTTTTTATTTATGGGGATTGATGCTGTCCAAATTCAATAATTTATTTTTTTAGTAATGAGGTTATTTATTTATGATTTAATGAAAGCTACAGGCATTAGGTAAGTATCTACCAATCTGGACTTTGGATGATAATTGGCAGATGTGTAATTGCAAACTGTAGGTGCAAGGATCAAGTAACGGTAAAACGGGGTGAATAGAATTCGAGGGGTGAATAGACCCAGAAGGGGGGTGAATAGTTATCTATTCACCCCTTTCGTGTATCTGTTTACCCCTCAAATTCTATTGAAACAATGAATTTATTTTTGCAAATAGGCCATAAAACGGCACTTTTACACGTCAAATTATATGTGAAGAACTAGATGATGCCGGCATTTCCTATCTGACTACCCTGAGAAGAAATGCCGAAACAAACTCAGAGGTCAGTCTCTTTTCAAGTCCAGACAATGTAAAATAACATAATGTGAGAGAACCGTGCAAGTTCATTCTGTAGTGGTCTTTTGAGGAAAGAACCACACCAGTTTAAGTGGACCCGTTCTGAAGACACCCCGTTTTACGGTAATGAATTTTAGATATTATGCTATCTGTATTTATCTCAGCTAATCTGGAGACTCAGTTGCCATTAAGGAGAAAAAAAATATCTCTGCTAGTCATGAATGAAGCTTCTACATAATTAGGATCCATGTTTGCAGTTGTCTTAGGCTTTTTAGAGCATCTTATATATACTAAGGCGCCTAAAATCGCCGGACAGACTTCTCTAAAGATATTAAATCTAGAATTAGTTTTAATTTTTGTTATTATAGAATTCAAAACTGATCCTAAGGTTACTGATAAAAGTACCTGTAGATATTTAATTCCCACAGGCTCTCGTTCCTGTTTCGGAACTAACCTAATCATCATCATCAGTTATAAGAATGAAAAAAACACGAGATATGTGGTAGTCAAAACTACAAGTTGCTTTATTTTGGTCAACACGACTTCTAGTAAGTACCTACCTATTAAAACGGCTTTATATTAACCTCAATAAAATTTATGACAAGCCCCTATTTACCATTTCTAGATGGAAACGAGGTGATGATGGATTTTCAACTGTAAACAAGCTTCTTCCATAGCACACCACTGGAGCTTGATATTCAGCTCTTCACCTCCAACCACTATCATCTATGTTTGAGTACTTACATAAGTAACCACTTGACTATATGCATGTAGGTAGGTACTGCACTTGACTATATAGAGAGAAAAAATAAATGTGTCTTTAGTAGATGCGGCTCCCGTCGCCTTTGGTTGGCTCAAAAACATCTGTTGGTACCTATTTCTTTACTGGATTTTATCATAAAGTGTGTGAACGCGTTATTTTCGGACCTAATGGCTCGAATTCGTCAATTACTATTTGTATAATTCATTTATCGAGGCAGGCTAATTTTAGGTTTAAATATCACGGGATATACATAGAAAATAGTTCGCCGGTCAAAAAATATAAAGATCTATCCCTTGCAAACGTGGACGTGATTGTGTCAATGAAATATACATTTCCTCAGTTTCAATTCAAACGATTTGAACATCAATGGTCACGAAAAATTCCAGCAGTTATTCTGTTAACCGAGTTAGTCGAAACGATTGTTCAGTCTCTGATATCTGTAAAAATCGCAGTAGATATGACTGGATGTTAGGTACCTAACTATCCCTAAATAATAGTTTATGTGTTAGGTATCTATTTAAATATTGGAATAAAAGCTGACAGTTTTTTTCAGCCGTGGACTTCTTGCAATACAATTGATTTTTTTTGAGATACGACCTATGTATATGTACGAGTATACTTAAATGTGATTAGAGTTTTGCATTTAGCCATTCATCTTATGTAGGTAGATACTTATCCACCCACTTATATAATACCTGGGTTTCAGGCTCTTTGGTCTATTTCAATCGGGGTTGCAGGTCAAGTGCAATGAAGTACAAGCCTGAATCAGGAGACAAAACTGCGTGGTTTTAGTCAGTAAGAAACTGACTAAAACCAAGAGGGAGTAGACATTTGAAAACAGGGATTTTTCTGTGTACCTACTCATTTACTAACAAGTGTAGATCTCAGACCTTCTACTGTTACTATTTTACTACCTACTCATTAGGTAATAAGGTATTAACGAAATACCTGTGAGTACCTAAGAAGTGTTAGATACCTGCACTTTGTTGGTTAAGTCCATATAATGCACCTGCTTACTGGATCTTATGTTTGTGACGGTAACAGGTTGCTGGCTATATTCCAAATCTCGCCATAGATCTGAGATAAACACATTATTTCGTCTGCACTTGAATTTTTCTAACAGCCCCTGTAGATACAAGTATATGTTACGTATTAGTGAATTATTGCTATTCGTTTTTTCGGATACGCTGTGTAGTAGAATTATTCTAGCCACCGATTGTTGATTGAGCCGATTTCTATAATCACTTCATTCATATCAACAGATGACTACATGACAATGCCTGGATAACTGACAGTAAAAATGTGTGAGATAACTTTTCATTAAGGCGTTTGTTTTGTTTTATTTGCCTACCTACATATTAAATACCTACCTCATATCATACATACCAAGACAGCCGTTGGTCGATTTCATCCAAGGATTTCGAATTGAGATCAGTAAAAAAAGATAACTACCTGGTAGTTTTAGCCAGTATTTTTGTCCAAAATATAGGTATCAGACTAGTTTCTGTCAGTAGCTTCTCCCATGATACCCGGGTAAGAAAGATTAAAAGTAGCCAAATTACATGCCACTCTAGAATAGAATCTATCCTTATAGCAAATTTCATCAAATTCAATTAAAGCGGGGACGCCGTTCGGGCCAGAAGACCGCCCTCTCTAGCTCGTCCTCCATCACCGAAAGGAGTCTTAATGCAGAGTAAAAAATATCTATTCATCATTAACTGCTTACAAATTTTGGCGTTTATTATTATTTATGTGTAACTTTGTAGTTAGCAAATGTCATTAGGTATGTGCTAATGTTACATAAGATTTTGTTCTCATACTTAGATATCTTGGCAGGTGTTAATTCAAACTATAATTTGTACAAGTTGAATGGTGTAATAAATACACATGTTTAGATTCTTTAAATCATGTATTATCCTTAAACTATGCAACTAATCAATTGACTTAGAAATCACAATATAATTGCAAACAAATTTTAAAATATTATTTTGACAGACATAAAAAAATGTCCAGAGACAATGTTAACCCAAATGATGCATTGACTATTTAAATTATTGACCACTCAGTCTAACAGATAAATAGCAAAACATTCATATAGCCTACAATAAATGCAATTAATTTCATCATTTTTATAACATCAATAAAGTTTACAAATATATAGTAGTTACTTGTCAGCTTTGGATCTACATAGAACTTGCTTGTTTAGTCAAGTTTTTGAAACACCATGAAGTAACCTTAGTTCACTTAGTGAGTTATTCAATTTATGTAGGTAGTTTACAAGATGTCTACAGGGACAAAAGTTAACACATGAGATGCTTATCTGTGTTTTTAGTATGCATAATTTAATTGGAGACTTCTTTGGAAGATATTAAATAAAACCTACAGAAGTCAATATTATTCCAGCTGTAATAAAATAATTTTAATGTAAGATGTTATAGCATAATTAAGGTCATGGTACATTGCTATACAAGTTGATGTGCATATAGGTTTAATATTTAATAGCTACAACTTGAAACCTGTCCCCATTTTATGTACTACAAAAATAATATAGATATTCAAATATGTATCATGTCTTAAACAATTAAATTCATGTGACATGAATGACATGACTATTCCACTGTGGCACCCAAAGCTTTTACCTATTTTGAAGGTAAACTTTGTTAAACTTTGACTTACTGAACTATCAAAATTCTGGAGATATCTGTAGATATTATACATCCAAAATTAATAGAATATGTTCAACAGAATACTATCATGCTAATTCTCAGGGACTGTATCACCAATCCATTTCAAATATGGTGGATTTCCATTCTTGATTGGTAGTGAGATGACTTCACATACAGAGTAGGGGTGATTCGTGCGAACAAACTCTGTTAGTTTGTCCACTTGTGATGTTCTTGTTTTGATCATCAGGAGCGCCTGAAAGTAGAATATAGAAATATTTATAGTTAACCTTTCAACATTGGTAATTCAAGACACAATGGGGTGTTTGCTTGGGGTTTGATGAATTCATATAATAGTATTAAAACAAAAACAACAATTAAAACCTTATTTCATACATACTATAAATACTTATTTCTTTAACCAGCCAGTTAGTTTTAACTTAATTAGTTATGGTTATTTTTTGTCTCTAAAATTGCATAAATAAGAAGTTTGGTACTGATACTTATTTATTGAAAGGATTCTAATGAGTTATAAATATAACTGATTTCACTGCATGGTTGACATGGCTGGGCAACCAGCTCACAGCAAAGTTTGATTCCCACATTGAAAAAACATGGTGTGATCCACAAATTATTGTTCCAGATCCGGGGTGATGAGTATGTGAAATTGTATTTTTGTAAATGCACCTTTAAAAAGACGCAAAAAGAGCATAAGGACTTTAAGTAAAGAAAAATGTCCCTACCTCACTATCTTCATTAATTTTTCCTTCCCACTCATATATGGAAGTTACTTGTGGTATTACATTGACACAGGCAGCCAATTTATTCTTCACTAAGCCATGTCCAATAGTTTTGCCCACATCTATGCTTGGTACTGTCACATAGGCCACAGAGTATTTATCTGAAAATATGAAAATTAATATAATTTATCAAAAACATTTTAGACCACAAACTGCCAAGTTCAATAAGCTATTGGTGCTACTTAATTAAAATATAGTAGGTAATGAAATTCCGATATAATATATATTAAAATATTATCGGAACTGACTGTAAAAAGATATATTCACTGACCGGCAAAATTATGAGTATTCGACAGAAAAAAGTTAAAAATTAATGGTACCAAATGATAAAGTAACATGTTGAACAAAATCAAATAGTTTAGGAATGGAGCAGACAGGCTACTAGTATTTTAAAACCTAATAAAATGTAATATTTTTGTTCAGGTTACCTACTTTGTTGTAACGTAATCTCATCACATTTACTTACCCGCATCTACTATACCAGAAGACATATTGGTTTGAGAAAGTACCAAGCAAGGTCTAAGAAATGAAAAATATAACGTAATTAATGATTTTTTATTTAGGGAAATTAGCATTTTTCCCCAGCTGATTACAGCTGACAACAGTAGTTTTTTTTTATTTCTGTATTACGATTGTACGGCTACGACATTATTTATCTTATCGTCACAGGTATAAGTAACAGGTAGCACAAATACTAGTTATCATTTTATCAGTTGCTTTTGATTGCAAAAAGAGTAAGTATTACAGGTCAGGTAGCAGTTTTTTTCCCGGGTAAATAGCAGATCAAGAGGCAATCAATGTACAAAGATCCAAACTTCAGTCACAGTATATAACAGAGCCTTTTATTTCATTACCTGTTGTAATCAGCAACAGGTATTATTTACCTGTGATTTTTACGGAACAGTAACAGTAAGAACAGGTATCATATTCTATATATTAAAACCCTAGTTTTTGACATTCATGGCACTTGACGTTGACGGGAAGCACACAATAGGTAATGACAGTAAAGTTGCGATGTCACAGGGTAGGTATGGCCAATAGAAAAATGTACTGATAGTGTTGTTATTTGCTTCTTATAACACAATTGTATTTTTTTAAGTTTCTTGGTGCTATTATTCCATTTAAATAGATTTCAGCTTCGTTATAATTGATAATGATGATTATTATTTATTTTGGTACTGATTTCAATGTTTGGTGATAATAAAAAAATCTGTGAAATTAGTCACTGGCCACTGTTTGACAGCAACATAAAAATATAAACCATTTATTTGTCTTTTGTTTCTTTTTGGCGGGCTTCTTGAGGTAAAAGTCTACTCTTTTTTGCAATTAGTAAAAAATGAAATAAATAGGTAAATTTTGTGAAAAATTACTGATGTAGATTTTACTTTTTGTGAAACCCTAGATAAAAATATAATTCGTTAGTAAAAATATAATGATTGCTTAGGTAATTAAGTAAGTACCTAATTTTTTTTTAAAGCAACCGCTAATGATAATATTTTTTATTTCAATTTATGTTTTTAAGTTAAAACAAGAAAATCAAATATCTGCCTTCGTTAATGGTTTTTCTTGTTACAACTGTAACAGTGTAATTTACTAACAAATAGGTACCTACACTTATTATATCTACATACCTAAATATTTAATCTAACATTACTATTGTCGTCAGTGGCGTGTGACATTGAAACTCATTGAAAATACATCCTGAAAATAGTATTTTTATGAGCTGTCTCGGAGTAAGGAAATTACATTTCCAATACTTATACTTACTGGAATGCGGACCCACCAATAAGGATTCTCACTGAACGAACTGCGGTATTGCTGTTTAAGAAAAAACCTGTTTAATCAAGTAAGTGACTTCTAATATCTTATTTTCAATAAGTTAATAAATTTATATTTACAATAAATTTATACGACGTCTAATTAATGGGTTCATATTGGATACCGATGTACATAGATATCATCATGAAGATAATAATTATTAAACATCACACCATAGACACTTTTGCCTGTACCTACCTACATAAAATAACATTGTAACATATAAGTACATAATTTTCTACCTAAACCAGTTAACAGTAAAGTTAACACATCATTTTATTTTAGCTACCTTCTAATTTGGAACCCGCAATCGTGTGGAAGATATATTATTATGTGACTTAATTTAACTTAATAACCTAGTCTTACGTATTTAGAATGAGTATTGAAATATACCAAACACAAAAGTACTTAATTCGAACTCGAGAAACATAGGACATAATTATGTTGTTCTGTATTCTGAGGACAATATGACAGTTTTTAAACCAAAAAATCTGCAGGAACTAGTCACGTTACTATTCCACGAACAAAGTCGCGGGAAAAAGATAGTTAAAATAATAATATAATATATTATAACAATAAAATTTATCAACACCATCATCAGTCAGACGACGCGACGTCCACGGCTGAACGAATGTCACCCGCGTAGAGCTTCATATCCTCATAGGTATTATATCATATCTTATTGATGAAAAGTTATTGATCGGTATTAAACTACATTATCTGCGTCTCCTTACTCTTGTTTAGTACGTATAGGTATCTGATGTCATACCTGCTTCCAAATTAAGGCATATTTGAAGCAAGGCAGGTATTTTGTTTACTTAAATTAAAAACCGATATAACCGCATTCATAAGTTCTTAAGCATGGCTGATGCCGTAGCATTTTAATTATATTTGCTATTGCTTATATTTACTTATTTAATTATAGCCAATAAACCTTATAATTGAATCTAAATAAACCTAGGTGATATATAACTTGAATCATGATTTGACGTATGTTGTATGTAGATACGTAGATAGCTATATCACATCATCACAATGGGTAAGATATCAATAATAATTATAATCTTAAGTACAACGTGACGTTTTACCTGTAATTATTTCATCTGTAGGTAAGTAATAAAATTAAGTAGGTACGTTTAACTGTCAGTGTTAAGCCGAGGTAAATAAATGTGAAGGTCACATCCACATTATGTTTACGTTCAAGTAACATTAAAACCAGTTTATATTGGTATTCGTTTATTATTTTTTAATCTAGACAATGTTTATTCTTAGAAATGACTATTTTGTAGGTATATTTTATTAATATACATGTCCACTGATTTCTAACATAAGTAGGTTGGTAAGTTGCTCTGTGTGTAAATGAAAAAAAAACAACAGTCTACATATTTTTTCACATTAAAAAAAATGTCATATATAAATTTCAGCAATCGTAAAACTACCTATTACAAGTAGAAAATATAATTCATTCATCTAATTTGATAATTAATTATCATTAGACAGAACTAATATCCTTAAATTATTGTGTAACCATTACAGGTTTTATAAAATAATCTTCCTATGTAATGACTAATTAATAGCCTCTTAGCTAAAATTTAGTCTCAGAATACCGAATGTCTTGTTAATTTACCAAATCAAATATTTTGAGACTGCAATTATTACAAAAGAGAAAACCGGGATTCAGTGTTCTAAGAGTTCCGTAAAATATAAATTCAGCAAATGTATGTAGTAGTTTAAATTTAAAATATTAAGGCATTTAGGGCCTGTTCCACCATACTTGTTTATGGGGTAGATAGTTATATTTTAAATACATTGTCCGGTAGATACTTACTTTTCAAATACATTTAGAGGCCCTTTTAATATTAGGTACTAATTACGCAAACTTATAAATCAAAAACAACTTCGTAAAAATGTTCGATCCCGGTTTATAAAAGCCTTGAAAATTTGCATAGATACAGAATGTCAAGTCCATTTCTTAAAAATAAATTTGTATATTTTTTATTTTTTTCTATTTCATGCCACTTTGTTTGAGACAGTGTTTTCGTCGCTAGGCGGTAAAGTCAAACAGAATTATTGATATTAGCAATTTTTTAAACTATTTAACAGAAGGCAATTCGTATTTGTTTGTACAAAATAAGGTTTTGTATACGTACTACAATTCATAATCGACTAGGGATTGTAATATAAAAATAGTTTTGTCACAATTAGATAAGGTACCTAATAGGTTTCTTTATTTATTTTGTTTCGGATATTTCCGAATGTATCTGCTGATATAATAATATCTACTAAGCTCATCGTTTCTCAATAGGTAATATAAATTACGCGTATCGCACAAAATTCAATTTTAATTGATTAATTTCATTTTACATTAATACAAGATTGGCAACGCATGCGCAACAACTGGGGACTTTTAGCGCCTTCTCCAAACTCGTACCATTGCTGAGCAGGACTGTCATTTTGCGGTAAACGTACTTTTGTTTACAACTGGTTTCATATCCGCGTTGGGTGAATATTATATTGGAACAGGACTTGGAATTGGTACTGAAACAAAAAAAAAGTTGATTAAAATACTGCATTTTTTTAAGTTTCCTGTTAGAACAAAATAGAAATTAGGTGAATTTATTACACAACATATCTACTTATTTATAACTCTCGGTAGACAAATTCATAGGACTCCATCAGGCTAATGTTGTATTTATTGATAATTAATACCTGAACTTTAAGGGTTTTTACTCTGTAAATTAACTTACTCGCAAATCTCAACCTTGAAACCTTGTATCGGGTTTTCCTCTTGATTTAGCACAACATGCCATTCTCCATTGGCATCTATTGCTGCTTTGGGGTACACTAACTGTAAAACACAAATATCAACATTTTAGGAATCAGACGTAAGGGATCTTTTGCTACACTGACTTTGACATTGGGTATTTCCATTACATTTGTTATAGTCATTATCGTTTTGTGGAGAGAATTAGAATACTGCTAACTTCTAGAGTTTTGGTAGTTCCTTAGACATAGAATGTATATTCTAGAATGAGCCTGTATGTTCAATAGAGGGTGACAAGAGACGTGTAAAAATTACAGTCAGCCAAGTTACTTGGTAATCAGATAAGAAAATAAAGAGAAGAAAATGAGAGACACTAATCATTGTTTATCCATTGAGTTGATCAGTGGGTATGACAAAAATACCACCTCTGTAAGTTTATTGTACTTACTTATCAATCTTGATTTTCTGACCTATTTGTACATTTAATAAATTGGCTGACCGACATACGTAAATACTTTTTCTGTTTTAGTCTATGAACATAATTAAAATTATTTAACTTGGAGATATGTAGAGTGTTTAGAGTACCAGCGGAATCAACTTAATAGTTGGGCCCATTAAAAATGTCCATTGACTGTTTTGCTATTTTAAAAGTTGAAAGACTCACTTGTTCTTGAAACTTGCACAGTTCGATAGTTTCTTCATGAGGCCCAACTCTTTGTGCGATGTCAGGTAATGTTGGAATGTCCAGTTTATCTTGCTGTAATGCACCTATATTGGTGAGCTGTAAAAATTGGAAAATTAAGATTAATTTGATGTCCTTTCTTTATCATGTGATAAATGTGGGAGAGCCAATTTCAGAACGAATGGGTTGACATGACTGGAGTGATATCATGGCGTTACAGAAAACCGGCGTGAAACAACCACAGCGTTGTGTTTCGCCGTGTGAGTGAGGTTACCGAAGGCCAAATCCTTCCCCTCCCCCAATTCCTCCCCAATCCCTAAATCTCCAAATCCCTAATCCCCAAAAGATTGGCAACGCACTCGTAACTCCTCTGTTGCGGGTGTCCATGAGCGGCGCTGATTGCTTACCGTCAGGTAATCCGTCTACTCCATGTTATGAGCGGCGTAGATTGCTTACCATCAGGTAATCCTTCTGTTCATTTGGTGCCCAATTACATAAAAAAAATGGTTAATTTTAACGTACTAAATCTAAAGTAAAAAAAACATACTTATTTGGTGAATGTGAATGTAAATCTTCCTTTACAATAGGAAACATTGCTAAAACTATAGAATAAGTATTATTTAATAGGTTTAGGAGTTAGCTCGATAAATACAACTCCTAATAAACAACATAGCTTACTTAAAAAAATGACTATCTAATTATTGCCGCATGGTTTGTGGTTGATTCATTCATGTGGTTTTTTGGTATTGTTGAAGATTTTCAGCAAGCGTTAATAGATATTATGATAAAAAGTTCCTTTACCTGAGCAATAGCCTTGTTCGCTAGTTCTTGTGGATAGTTGGGAACATCTTGACAGATACCAATTTTTCTGCAATGTTCTGGTATTTCTAGCTTAAACTCTTCAGATGTAGGCCCGGGAAAAACAATTTTGAAATTGTCGTTATTTGGACCTGGAAACATAAGTAGGTTCATAAGCATTTTTTCTAGACCAAACGTTTTAATTCTCTATGTAGGTATGTATTTTAAAAATATTTTGTTTTTGGGCCTGTTTACAAGTACTTAAACATGCAAGTACTAAGATAACATAATTTTTTAAAAACTTTGGTTACTAATAATCATGGTTTTTGTTTACTGACTTAGTAGATATCTATATAATGTAACGTTTCAAACTATGTCAAGAAAAAGTGTACGAAGTGATTATCTCAATGTAATCAAAGCAATAAAAAAAAACAATTATACATCCGTGTTACAATAGTAGTTTTTATGAAGCACAAGTACAATTATTTAACCTTAAAACGAGAGACAATGTAGTCATAAGGTAATTTGCCAGCATAATATCGTTTTTGTACTTATATTCAAATTGACGAGTTGGTAGTTTTTTGGTTGTTTGAGTTATAGGTAAGGTACTTAGATCCCGGATTTTCTATATTTCATACATTTTAAGTAAGTGAGCGTGCCTGAAGTCCTTTTTTATTTGTTAATTTGACACATTTTATTTCAAATAAATTAGAGGTCAATTTTATTTTTGCCCGTAAACTTTTTGATTATAACTATAGATTTGTATTTCATTTCTGTAGAGGTAAGGTAAGTCATAGACTTGCATGTTATATTTAAATTAGATTTCAACTGAAACACACTTGTTGTACTTACCTCAGACAAGTTACAAGGAAAATTGATACCAAATAATAAGTCATCTAAACAATGATTTTCATAAAATTGTCCCACATTATGTAGCTTCTAGAATAATGTCATATTATGTTTCAAACTTTAATTAAGTACCCAATATTAGGATTCCTAGGCAGATCGACTAGATCTAGACCCTATCAAAGCGATTTAATGTAATAATATATAGGTACTTAGACTTTTTTCAATAAAGCTGAAGCATATAAATTTTATAGTTTTGAGAATATGTACTTTTACGGATATTTTCCAAAGTTGTTTCGCGCCAAAATACAGTATTGTAATGCTTTGGTATTATAAAAAATGAAAATAATTAACATTCGACAATAAAAATTAAACTCCCTCAATTTAGGAGCAAAAAAGTAAAAATACTTTTTTTAAATGTGCGTTTTTTTAAACCTACGTATTTAATAAAAAAAATCATATTTAAATATTTTTACAAGAGTAAATTATTTTGGACAAACAAATACAGGAAAACTAAGTGTGATTTTTCATTACCATGAGTTTATTTTTAAACTGCAAAAGTGTGACAAGGGAAGTAAGTAAGGTAACCAACTGTAAATTAAGTACTTAAATATAATATGGATTTGATATTATTGCTATGGCAGGTCCAGGTCCAGTTACGCTGCATATTGCCACTACAGTTTCATATAAGTTACATATTTTTCACATATTAGAAGAAAAACGGCATTTCAATTAAATTCACGCAATTTAATCATTGTAACACTTGTCGATAAGCCTATAGTTTGACCGTATACTGTGCGTAAATAAAAGGAGGAAATTACCTACTGGCAATGACGCGAGTGCTAAAATAATAATCTTTGTACCTACCTACCTACTAGTACCTACTTACTGCAAGCGATGTAAATGGCCGACCTTGTATGATGCAGTTAGATTTAAATATTATCTACTGAAAGGTTAACTTCGATTCCATGAAAAGTAACACCTACAGGGTATATTATATGTCTACATGTATGTACCATCCCCCATATCTTGGGTGCAACAACAATAGTTTACCTCGTTTACTTGTATATGGCTTCCAAGTCAATACTTTAGACTCACTTTCTGATCGTCGCGTCTGCGTTGTGTCTGCTATTTTAATTTGAGCAAAACTTTTAACATCGTCTGAATTGTTAGGTGGGTAGTTTGCGGGAGATATCTCAGCTATTCGTGTGTTCACTCCCTCAGAGGCGCGATTGTCGGGAATTCCTAGAGGTTCCTGGTTGGTGTAGTCATATTGATGGCGTGTGTCGCTGTCCGAGTTCGTCTGCTTACATTTGAATGCAGATGTGGTCATCTGGAATTAATAAAAAAATATTCCTTTATTAAATTTATACATTAGGTAGTGTATAAATTGTCAGAACTGAAACGTACCAACGTATAAACAATATATATATATCCTATTTGTTAAAATATTTTTAAACTAGCTTTTTGCCCGCAAGTCCTGACTTCTTGCAGATTTTTGGTATAAAAACTATCAAACGTATCTTATGTCCTTTCTCGAGTTCCAAACTATGTCTGTACCAAATTTCACAGAAATCGGTTCAGTGTTTTAGGCGTGAAAAAAGACAGACAGACAGCCAGATTTACTTTCGCATTAATAATATTAGTATAGATAGAACATAGATATAGATCATAGACTCTTTAGATGAGTACCTATAATACTATTATTATGAGCAGGTCCCTATTAATGTAAATAAAATAATAAATAAGTAAGTACCTATCAAAAATGTTTGCACTGGCAGTCTAGATTTCATATTTACCTAATCCTTGAATATTTATAAAGTACCACTAGTAGATGTAGGTTATCTACTTTTAGGCCTTTCAAAAATGATTCGTTAAATATTTCTTACATGCTAATTTGCAAGTTTATCTGTGCTCATTTTTTGTTTGCAATGTGCAGCGCAGATCGAGTTCGAAGAATTAACCGAAGGTTGACTTCGACTGCGAATATACATATGTTATAATATTAACATGTCTAGTTGTGTGAAAGCAGGTAAATGTGTACGTAGATAAAATTCTTTATATTCATTGTTTCTTACAATGAATTAACTGCAACCATAAGCCAATAAGTATAAAGTAATTGGTTAATATTTGATATGCATATTAGATTGGTACCTACCTAGGTGATGCATGAAATAAATATAGTAAGATTGAAAACTTATGAATATTTTTATGTAGGCAATGGTAAAGGGATTAGCGTTAACAAGTATTGTTTATCTTTTAGTTTATTGTCAATGTAGAATAGACGACAAATCCATTTGAATCACAATAAACTACAACTCTTTGTTATAAATCATAGTTTCATGACCTCTGTCATCTAATTATCAAGTACATAAGTATTTATTAAAATGTTATCGGAAATTACATACCTACATACTTTTTGTGTAAAACAATAACAATTAATGGAAATCAAAGTATAAATTTCATAGACAATTATCTACCTAACAGAAACTTCTTTAACGTATGGCAGATTAGGTTTCTACCCACGCCTTCTTTATTTGCCAAATTTTAGCCTTGAGTCGATGCTGGTTGTGTGTACACAATTCTTTATTTACTTTTTTATAACCACACATAGTCATTTCATCTACAAATTATCATAATGTTTCCTAGAATTATTTCCGGTCTTTATTTTGCTAGCCACAACAACCTCTATTATTTGACAAAACTCTATAAATTGATTTATCAGCTCGTGGCCTCGGTTACGCTACTGTAAATGTACTTGTAATAGTCCCATATATACCATATAACACCGTATCCAGATCTACCAGCAGTGTAGTGAATCTGTTTGTTTTTATATATTTTTAATCTTTACGGTCATTACGCTTATATAGGTAGGTTTGTTGTTATTAAACTAATAAATTATATTATGTACTAGCTTCTGCCACCAGCTTCGCCCGCAGCACACAACAAAAAGTAGCCTGTGTGTTATTTTAAACTACTTTCTATATGCTACCTATTAGATAAATTCCATTAAGATCTTTTCAGAAGTTTTAACGAGATATACTTAGGTGCAATCGTCTTTTCCTTTTTAGACACTTTCGTGTTCATAATACATATAAGTAGTACAAAATAGGATTATGATGTACATACACAAAATTAGTAAATATTATGCAGAGCTTATTCAGAGAGAACATATTAAAAATTAATAAGTATAAATTAAATACGTTTTAAAATGAAACATTTTAAATGAAATTCTTCAAAAATAAGGATATTTCATTAAAAGAATAGAAGAATTTTACAATAAAAATTAAACTATACGGTGGACTTTGTGGTTGGTTAAGTCAGTATCATTCAAGATAAATTCTGATTAATTCTACGGTGCTGCGTTGTCGTGATGGGTGCACATAATGACTGGTCATCACTTGTTATTTGTGTCGCGAAGAGATGAGTAACCAACCTAATTATAATTTTAGAAACTGATTATACAGCATCCAAATAACATTAAGTGTACGGTTTTTCTATACAGGTTGGTTTTCCCAATTCATATTTAATGTATTTTCGAAACACCATGAAAAAATAATAGGCAGTGCTTAGCTTAGTTAGCATAATCGGTGTCTGCATTTACACGAGTTCTACTATTTTCAAGTTCATTATTCTAGTATGACGTCAAAATATCATCAAATACAGACAGCTAGATAAGTAGAGACTTTAAAAGCAAATAATTGTCACTTAAATATACATAGGTTTACGATTAGCGGCCCGTGCCAGCTATCCTGGGGATTGTCTGACTTTCCGATGTGTTTGTAAATTGGTTTTATTTTACACAAAAATTGTACTGGACTAAACAATGAAATCAGCAAAGAAGAATATGTGTCTGAAAATTTTTTGCAGATTTACTTTTTGTGTATGAGGTTTAATACATACTGAAGTACGATCGAAGTTGAAATTATGTGAAAGTGTTTAGAAAAACAATACGACAAAGTACGTGTAGGTCATAATAATTACCGCTATACTCATTATGTATGCAAACGACGCATCCAAAATGCTTATGCTGGTGAGTCAACTATTTTCGATTGGAAGTATTTCAAAATAACAATAAAAATCTTCATTATATTTTATGATTATTATCTATAGGCATTACCTGTTACAGAGAGGCAATACAATAAAAATCATATCTATTTATACATTATAATATCACACCCATACATTAAACAACTATTTGGCAATATATTTTATTTAACTACCTATGGTGTTCGTGTTTATATAATTCATGATTGTTTGACAATTAATGAATAAATGAATAATTATGAGGGGAAGGTATAAAATAACTTCGAAGGAATATGACTAAGCTTACCTAATCCAAGGGTATTTGAAAAAATGCATCCACACCAACTTACTTACTAATTGAAAAACAGTGGTTTGAACACTGAATGACCGCTAGACTATAAATATTTACAATGACTAATTAAACAAATTTGCCCATTCATTGACTTCCGAGTAAGTAACTTGGCTACGAAGCAGGCGACAGATCACTAATTAGGTACTTTGCATGAACTGCTAACATGATTTTTTTGCTTTTGGGTTTTTCATAACTTGTATTGGCACTTATTTTTACTGCTGTTGTATAGTTATTATGTGTATATCAAATTCGCATCTAATAGTGTCTATTCGTTTTAACGTAAGATTATTTTGCAATCGAAATCTCATAATGGTTATGCAATTAAAATATAAATGTGAATTGCTTAAAATATTAAATTTTATGATACTAACACCATGTTTCAAAATAATTATGGTGCACCCAGGGTCCACACTTGGTAAATGCGTTGCTGCGAACAGCTGGCTTACCGGTCCTCACCATTTTGCAGACTGCGCGCAATCATATTGCAGTACGTTTGAGAATAAACTCTCCGCGACACGTGAAACTAAATATATTTTAAATCGCTAAAACGTGTAACTGTAACGATTGGGTCGCAAGTGTCAACCATTTTTATCTTATTTTTTTACTGCCGAAAACTTGATACTTAGAACATTTTTCAAGTCCGTGAAATCATAAAGTCAGTATTCCAACTCTAAGGTCAATAAATAACAAAATATATTTTTGCATATTAATGGTTTAGGCCCTGTTTCACTATGTTCATGTAAGCGTCTGATATACCGTGTTTTGTAGTGTACACAAATGGCTTTTCAAATTCAAAATGGATCTGATAAATGCGCGGGTAGCTCGCGGCTCGACAAGTGCCAGACCTCAAAATGTCAATTAAATAGACCACCACAGATGGGGCCCAACAGGGCCGATTTTCAGCTGATGTTGCGGGGTAGGCACAATAAGGTATCAAACGTGCGGTACCAGCAACTTATACATACTTCTATTCCCTACCACATGGACTGCGGAATACTTATCTACTTATATATATAATATTCTACTATATTCAAAGGTAGTTTCGGTTTTCAGTATTATCAAAAACCTCATTGAATTCAAATATTGCGCAAGAGAGCAAACACTGGTACAGATTTACATTACCTATGTATTATTTATTGCCTTACGTTTTTTTTGATAAACAGACATCAAGCTAGTGTGTTTGTAATGGGTACAAAACAGTTCTCAGAATAGAGTAGAGAGTGTAGTGTATGCGTAGTTGACTTAGTATTATCGTTTATTCTGAATCGTTCAGTAAATAAAACGCCCTTCTCTTTTTTATTCAAATTTTTTCAGTAGGTGTCGCATTTATTTAATAAAAAATGCAACTGTCCACTTATTTAGTAGGTAGTTATAAACCATAGGTATATGTATAAATATGACTGCAAGATTATAAATATGACTGCACGATTGGCGCGGTGGCCGCGCAACGTGTCGTGGGTTCGATTTCCGCGCTGAACAACTATTTGTGTGATCCACGAATTGTTTTTCCAGGTCTGGGTGTGATGTGTATGTGAAATTGCATGTTTGTAAACGCACCCACAACACGGGAGAAAATACTAGTGTGGGGCATCGTTAAAAAAAATATAATCTTTGTTTTAAATGTTGCCAACATGCATTTGCTTCCAATTGTTACAAAATTAATAGGTATTTTAATGTTCTATAGATGCTATTACTACGTGTTGTGAAATTTCATAACTTACAAATCAAAGATTAGCAAAGAACACTTCACTCACAGAGAAGGCTTGACCATTGATTACCTCGGCATATCAAGGTAGATGAAGATTTCAAATTAGTAGTACCTAAGTAGTAATGTAGTAATTAAGTAAAATTTATAATTAAATATCCAGGTTTCCTCACGATGTTTTCCTTCACCGTTTGTGTCGGTGGGTGTTTGAATGAACTTAGAAATTTCGTATGATTCGGAACGATCATAT